ATTGATATATCACACATATATCTGAGGGCTTCAGGGGGTAAACTACCCCTAGTTTTTTGGAATATTTTAAAAACTACCCTGTCAATTTTGGCGATATTATGTGTCCTTATAGTACGTTTAAAAATATTAATGGCGTGTTTTTTCTTATTTGCCTCTGACCATTCCCTGCAAAGTTACGGGGTATGATAGATAACCCCTTTCCTTAAGAATAATGTGATAAACTGTTACACTTTTGCACAATATTTTTAAGAAAACCATTAATTAGATGTAAATTACGATTTACGCAGTAAAATAAACCCTATACGACATTAAGGGGTGGCTGGGGTTAACTACCCTAACCACCCCAAAAATTAATTTTTTTTGCGAAAATTGTTTGTCGATTTTGGTGCAGTTTACCACGATGATTTTTTTATACGTTAGGTAATACTATTGTAAGAACTTACAAGGATTAGATGTTTGGGGTAGAAAATATATTTTCCCTAATAACTTTCACACTCCTACAGAAAAATATTTTTTATCCTTATTCTATTTAAATAACACAAAAGTTAGGATAATTATATAAATATTTATTAATAATGAGTTAAAAAGCAACTGCAAAAAAATGGTTAAGTATCACAAATTGTATTCTACATTATTAATTTAATTTCTTTTTTTTACTTTTTTGTATTCAATATATTGTTGGCAATAATGAAAATCATGGAAAAAATGTTTTAAACACAACGATCGTTTACACCATGCACAAGTTATAACACCTATATCTCCACAGATATCGCACGTAGGTTTTTCATTGGAAAAGCATACCTCTACGGGATTTTCAAACTGGTCTCTCCTCTATATATATAAGCATTTTATTGTTTTTGATATTTACAATTTTCCCCTTAATACATTCTAATATATCTCATAAATATATTATTTTCACCCTCTACCCTCTTCCTCCATTTCCATACCCTCGGCTCAATCATCCCTTCATCCATCCCTTTGTCTCCTCACCCCCACAACCATTCTCATCCATCGTTTCCCCTCTCCTCTATATATCCATATGCAAACCAGGCGTATTTAAAAACATTAATAAGTCGTGGGGAAGACAACTGGTTATGCGTTAAGGATTGCAATTTTAAAATATAATGTATCTAATGAAATTTTTTCATATACTAAAACCAAATACATCCAGGGGTTGAATTTGACCTGTTGTCCCTGTAGGTATAGACAAATATTTAAACTTAACATCCGATGGAGTTACTTCACTAATAATTTCAGAGCAGTGGCCACTCCAAGAATCCAGTAATAGTAACGATTTGAGTCTGGTGTTTGGGAAATAGACATTTTGTAGCCAATTTTTCATATGAGCAGAATTCAGTTTACCAGACATTGATGTCAAAACGAATATGTTATTTGCTTTGAACATTGTATTTATTACCGTCGGTCCAAACGTACCAGAGGATTCTAATAATGTGGAATACAATTTGTGATATTTAACCACTTTTTTTCAGTTGCTTTTTAACTCATTATTAATAAATATTTATACAATTATCCTAACTTTTGTGTTATTTATATAGAATAAGGATAAAAAAGCTTTTTCTGTAGGAGTGTGAAAGTTATTAGGGAAAATATATTTTCTACCCCAAACATCTAATCCTTGTAAGTTCTTACAATAGTATTACCTAACGTATAAAAAAATCATCGTGGTAAACTGCACCAAAATCGACAAACAATTTTCGCAAAAAAAATTAATTTTTGGTGTTGTTAGGGTAGTTAATCCCAGCCACCCCTTAATGTCGTAAAGGGTTTATTTTACTGCGTACATCGTAATTTACATCTAATAAATGATTTTCTTCAAAATATTGTGCAAAAGTGTAACAGTTTATCACATTTTTCTTAAGGAAAGGGGTTATCTATCATACCCCGTAACTTTGCAGGGGATGGTCAGAGACATATAAAAAAAAACACGTAATTAATATTTTTAAACGTACTATAAGGATACATAATATCGCCAAAATCGACAGGGTAGTTTTTAAAATATTCCAAAAAAACTAGGGGTAGTTTACCCTGTGAAGTCCTCAGATATATGTGTGATATATCAATGGAAAGCTCTTTAAAAATGAATATCAGTTTACATTTACCACATTTCGATAGCTATTTTCGTTTTCAGCCTATAAGCGAATATATATATTTCGCCCCGATTTCCAACCCTTATAACTCGCCCCAGGGGCTTTATTAGCACGTATAAAAAAATACGTAAACGTTATTTTTGGCCATACTATCGCTGTACCAAATTTCAACAAAATCGGTGAGGGACAGTTCTGATACTTCCCTTGTTAGTGTTATGTTGCAATTTGTAAGGATAGTGTGGTTATAAGACGAGCATAGCTGTCTGGTGTCTCCATAAGCATTTTCTACCATGTTTAATTTTTGAGCAAAGGTATCCATATTTATGTGGGTGACCATATCCCATGTTTGGTCGAAATATTGGACTTTTCCTAACTTCTCAAAGTATAATCCTGATGATTGACTAATAGGAACTATGTTAATCGTTATGTTGGTGGAATAAACGAGACCTATTATGGATCTGGAACAAACGCATGTTTCAATCTGTTAGTGTGGACTGTTACTTTTTTATTTTTTATTAGAATGCTACAGTTGACTGATGAATTTATTTCCTATTATTTTATAAGGACCACTATATTTTGGGGCTAATTTTCTACTATTTTCATTTAAAAGAAATACATTATCGCCTACTTCAAATTTTATTTGTTTAATTTTTTTATCGTAAATTGTCTTATTGTTAAATTTGGATTTTTGCATTTTGAATTTCAAATCATCTAGATAATTATCGTATGAATATTTGAATTCGGGACTTGATGTAATATTTGAAGGGAGACGAGCTTTAATTCCGAATAGAAGTTCGAATGGTGAAAATTTTGTTGATGAATGGATGTTAGTGTTGTATGAAAACATAGCATGTTCTATCCAATCATCCCAATTAGATTGATCTTTATTAATGTAGTGTTTTAAGTAATCAGCTAACGTTGCATGACTACGTTCTAATGCTCCGTTGCTTTGTGGATGATATATATAATATGCTGAGCAATTTATGTGCTTTATTTTGAAAAGTTTTGATGTTTGATTGAATAATTTAGAGGTGAAATCTCTACCTTGATCGGTGACTAAAATTTCTGGAATACCGAATTTGCAAATAAAATTTTGGACAAAAAGGTTAGCAATTGTGATAGCTTCATGATTGGGTACTGGGAATGCTTGTGAGAGTTTGGAAAGATCATCTTGGAGGGTGATAATAAATCGATTGCCTTTTTCTGTTAAAGGAAGGGGTCCTACAACATCCATGAAAATTTTTTCGAATGGTTTGGAACTGGTGGTGGTTATTTCCATGGGTTGTTTAGTTTTCTTGCGAACTAATTTGTTTCGTTGACAGGATTCGCATTTCTTTATAAAATTCTGGATGTCTTTCTTCATTGAAGACCATTTAAAGTTTTGTTGTAGGTTCTGTGAAATCCTTAATGACCTGCTGTTACACTTGAATGATATTCTTCTAAAATTTCGGGTATTTCATTGATCGTTGGTTCTTGCAAATTTCCATAACAAATATTAATTCTTAATTTACTTCTATGGAATATATACCTAATCATGGTTCTGACTTTGCTCCACTTGATTTTATCATACTGGTCACCAAATTTTGGCATACTAATTTCTGTTAATTTTTCCGTTTCTAGGGTTTCTTCTAATTTAATCAGGATATCGTATATACTTTTGTAGTCTGTTGCTTGCCAATGATGTTCTTTGTAAATTAGATAATATTTGGATTGTTTTCCTTCAACCTTTATGATGTCGTTAATTCGTTTTCCGCTAAGAATGGTTCTATCTTCGTCTTCAATATTTTTATTCTGTTCTAGGTCTGCGGCGATTGGTATTATGATCGGTTGTTTGGAAATTTTGAGTTCTGAATTGGATTCTACGATATTATTATTGATAATAGGTCTGGAATTCAGAGCTTTAAGAAAGTCTGAGTAGGTTTCTTCGTTTTTCGTCGTGACGGCAATCCTGCTGAGTGCGTCAGCATTTGAATTTATTTTTCCAGGTTTTTATTGGATTTCGTATTCATACTCTTCTAGTAACAATCTCCATCTAACTAATCTGGAACTTGGATCTTTGCAATTAAATAACCATGTTAATGGACGATGGTCGGTCAAGATGAAGAATTTTCTTCCATATAGATACGGGCGGTAGTGACGTACACTCCATATAATGGCTAGTAATTCTCTTTCTGTCGTAGAGTAATTCTGTTCTGCTTTATTCAGTGTACGACTTGCATATGCGATAGGTAGATCGCGAGACGTATCTTTCTTTTGCGACAACACTGCTCCGATTGCGTAATTACTTGCATCAGTGGTGAGGAAAAAAGGTTCTGCGAAGTCTGGATACTGTAAGATAGGTTTAGAACTTAAGAGACTTTTTAATTTTTCAAAAGAATTCTGTTGTAGACTGGTCCATAGGAAAGGGGTATCCTTTTTTAATAGTTTGGTAAGAGGTTGGGCAATAGAACTGAAATNTATGATTTGAACTGCGATGTGAATTTTGACTTGACCCTTGAACCTGATTGATATGGAATTGCCTTTTATTATTTTGGAATTGATTTTTGTTATTGGGTGGTTGTTGATTTTTATATCTACAATTGAATGTGGTGTGACCCGATTTGTTACAAATATTACATAATTTTGCATATGAATTATTAACATTTTGGTATTTGAATATGTCTGCTTTTGATTTTAATTCTTGTTCTTCGACTAACGCCAAAGCGATTGTGCTTTCTAGAGAATCTGTTTTTTGTGACTTTACAATTAACGCGAGATCTTTATTTAGACCACTTATAAAAATTCTTAATGCTTCGTTCTTCAATAAATCTGAGCACGCTGTACGAGCTTCTCTAGTAAGGTCCTCGTCTAAAGAGTTAATTAATTTTACATAACAGTGTTCTATTTTATTTGAAAAGGATAAAACGTTTTCGCCTACATTTTGACGACAAGAATTTAATTCCAATTGCCATTGGCTCATGGTTCGTTTTTCGGAATATAAATCTAACAAATGTTGTTTTAATTCCTGCCAATTATTAAATGAACGGTTTCTTATTATGGCCCTAGCATTATCAGTAATTCGTGTTTCTATAATAGCGAATAAAATATTTTTTAATTCGGGTTTAACATATTGATTAGCTTTGTCACAATTATGTCACATTTATTATAAATTCATGAAATTTATGTTTTGATCCGTCAAAACGTGTTAACATATCTTTTGCGATTGAAATTTCGATTGAAACGTATGACCGATTTGAAGAAGTTGAGGAGTTTGATGAGCTTGCTAAGTCTGTGTTTACCATTTTGATAATTTTAAGTTTAATTTAGATTTAGGTAGATTTAAGAAATTGCTCGTAAACGCAATATTATGAAAATGGCGACACTTACAATGAAATAATCAGACGCATTTTTCTTTTTGGGCTTCCTGATTTCCTTGGTTCTGCGGTAGGTTCTTGGAGGTTGATTGATTTTTCTTCCTTCAAGTTTTGCGAACTGGAACTGTTGATCAGGTGATATCCCACTTCCGACACCATTTGTATTGTACGGCTGAGTCTCAAGATGTCGTCTGGTTGAACGTCGTAGTAGGAAGATAAACACAATTTTCTCTTACTTAACTATCTTTATTTTGTCCAGGCGACGGGTTGGTACAGAGTATAATGATATAAGTACGAAGGCTTTCACGGCCGGTGTGAATTAAACTAAAATTAGAACTAAAACTAGAACTAACACTAGAAACTTTCGGGTTTTTGCCGTGCGTCTTTTAATAAAAGGTTTGACGTTTCGGATGCCATGTTGCAACCTTCTTCAGAAACTGGTTCGAAGTGACTTCGTTCGAACTGACTAATTTTAGTTTGAGTATAATGATGTTCTTGGTTGTAGTTCGATACTATTATTATTTTTCAATTGTATTACAGTTACATTACAGACTGGTGTGAAGTTATCCATAAATCCCAGCAATAAACTTAAAACATTAATAATTCCGTAACTAATACGATTTGGGTAACCAAATTTCACACAGAGGTCACTCTTACCCTCAAGAACAGCTTACCACCCCCATTTGGTAAAAAAAATTTGTTTCAACCCCCACCCCCGAAAAAGGGATGTTTTCGCCCTGATGGGCACCTTCGAATTAAACCAAATTCTACCACATAATAGAACACAGTTCTAAGTATTTTTATCAATTTTCAAAACACCGTAAGCCCTAACGGTTTTCGAGAAAAAAAATCAGTATTATAAACCGCGGATGGGACTTTAGGGGTGAATTTGACCCCGTTGGGCACCTTCAAAATTGATGAAATTTTAGGATGATTTAGAGGATGCCTTTAGC